ACAAATTAAGTCAACTTTTGAGAACTGACAAATTGTCATTGTTTTGTTTCAGATACAGAATAAAAAACTGAATGTAGAAATTTCATTTATAAATGAAATTTCTACATTCAGTTTTTTATTCTGTATCTGAAATATAACAATGACAATTTGTCAGTTATCAGAAGTGGACTTGGTTTTTCAGAATAGGTAGACTATTGGAAAAAAACCGAAATTTTTCATCTAATAACTGTTTTCAAAATATTAAAACACATGTATTCTTAATCAAATCGCAACGCTCCATATAATCATATAATCAAAATAAAAACAAAAAAAATCTGCATTAGTTTTGTATTTAAGATATCTTACATAGTGATAAGACAATCTATAAGTTATTTTCATTAGCTGTTATTATTGTTATTACTTGAAAATGATCTTTGAAGTGCTTGAAACGTTGTAAAACGAATAAAAGTTTTCTTTCAAATACACTGTTTTCATTTTTATGAATTTCCTTTATTTAATTAGTGAGTTTATACACATTATGTTATAGAATATTAACTATTGGTCGTACTATCAGAGTTTGTAAAAGTTTTAAGATCAAAACACGATGTTTGCAAATGCGCATCTTTCAATGTCATGTCTAGCAAATATACATAAGTACAGAGTGTACATGATAAAACAAATGTACTTTTATTTCTTTTTGTCCGTTGAATAGTGATTACCTTAATGTGACTTTGTACATCTATCATACGCATGTGAGATAATTACCTGAAAAGCTGCTTGACGAATGAATATTGTTGTCTTTCAACTATTAGGTTACGGACGAGTGAACACAATGATGACGTCATCAGACGTGAAATATATAAATAGCTCTAGTTCTTGCCTAACGTTGTTATTTCTTTTTACTTGGACTTAATATTGGAGAGAAGAACCAATATTTGCAAGTAAGTTATAAGGAAACCCATATTTAGTAAATTCATTTTGTCTTCATCTCTGATGCAACGATTATAGATGACATATTAATTATGAAGTTTACTAGAAAAAAAAACCTTTTGCTGGCTGATGTCGATGCAGAGAAGTGCATCACGGAAGAATCTCGGAAACAGCAAACCAATTGTAGAACTTTTCTATATGCATCGTGTCTACGATAATATGTTCCCTAAGTTATGTTGCCAAAGCAATTCAATAACAGTATTGTATAAAAAACTTTGATTTCTTGTCTATTAGAGATTTTAATTGGTGTAGCTGTCATTACACCACGAAATTGTTTCAACGCTGAGACAATGAACAGTATCATAAGGAAGAAGTTATGTAGGAACATTGGTATCAAGTAAATTAAAATGATAACAAAATGCTCATTGTGATAGCTATTCTTTGGTGCGCTTAAAGTAGCCAATGTTGTTTTTTTTTTCATTATTGTATAAAATCGGTGCTCGTGCATTAGCTGGAGCTAGTGGAGTCCATATTGTATTGAGTATTTTCATGTCATTCGTTTATTATTTGTTCACTCGCATTATTTCGTTTACAGTATTATTGTAATTGGAGTACTAGTCAAAAAGATAATGTTAACACATTCATTTCTACAGTTGGAAAATTCAAGATGGTTCAACATCGAAAAGACTTATTATTATCAAGCTACATCCAAAAGCTTCATAGTATAAACAACAGATCCACTCACTCTTGAAAATACAGTGATAGATAACTATAGTTATAGAACTAGACTTACTAGTATGAACATACCAAATATAACTAACAATCGCATTTGAAATAGACAACTGCCAAGTGATACACAAAGCATCTACTTGGTGCTCAATTCTTCAGCTGTGAAGAAAAAGTATTCAGCAAATTCATCTTTCTCTGTCAACTATTAAGGATATCATTCGGTATTCTCTGTTGGAAAAACAACATACACCTACGGATTTATAACAAATCCATAAAAATGCATGGCCAGTTGCAGTGTCTACAACCAAAATATTTCACCTGATGATGACACCGCTGTTTACGTCTCATTGAATCTCATAGCACATGAACTAATGGAAGCAATGTCCAATTCATTCTTGAATGCATGGTGCACTTTGAGCCATAATGAAAATGCGGACAAGTGGTAAGTACAAAAGTAAACTACTGTCTATGAATCATTTTTGTCTAAAATCCACTACGTTCAACCATAGTAGCCCTAATATTGATCTAAACAAACATAAGAAATGATTCTTCAACAAAAGTGTATGTAAGCATTTCTTAAGGGGTCAGCCTAGTAATTCTTACTATTTGATGTCATTTTCAATGCTAATCTGTTCTCTAACTAAACTAGAAAAATCAGGAATAGGTATTTTGTGCTTCTCGAAATATTATGGAAACATTGATTAATATTGTTTTGTTTTTATGACTTTTTACAATGCTGTGACACTCAAACTGCAACATTGATTCCCTAGATGTGTTTGGAACATATACCTATTAATAGTGTAATTATTTTTGTAATTTTAGTACCTACATGTATGGAAATACTTTCCGACTTGCAAATGGGGCTCACTACAATATGACTATTTGTAGCAAATACTATCTTATTCAACAAAATTGGAATACGAATCTTCAGAGATGTGTAGTGTCCGCCTAAATGATTTCCTCGCATTTATTCTGACATAAAAGATTAGTTTTTGTTAAATTAACTGGCGCGTCCAAAGTCTAATCTGCTGCATTTGAAAACAATAAATAGTAATAATCATGCAACTGTTAATTTTGCTTTCTTTTATATATTTGTAATGGTTTCTCTATAATTGCAATAGTCTATATGAAATAAGTTCTCTTGTATACAAATGTTGATCGTAATTGCCAATATATTCATGTCTCACTAAAGAAGAAGACTTCCAGGTGAATGAAATCGGCTGGATTTTGTGATATCCGATCGTCTGATAGCATTCAATGAGACTCCGAGTTAAGGAATCACTAACAGATTCAACATTTATATTTCAATGAATATCCGATGATATCCAACTGTTGGAATCAATGAAAATTTTTACCATCAGTTGATGATAGAATTCTTAGAGGTTCACACCAATGTTTTTTTAATTTCTAATGAATCCTATATGTTATGAAAAAATTCATCATTTGAATTCTACCGTACTTTAGCTGAACATATCCCATTGTAATAACTGTTGATAACATTATAATATCAGTTTGAAGTGAAAAATCCAGATCTGTAATGCATACATAAATAAAAGTTTTCGCGTTAGAGTATTTCAGTTAGGTGACGTATATTTTTAAAAAATAAGAATTTCTTTTAAACTTTGACTAAAGTTTTTCGGAGATGAATAATGCATACTGACTAACAATTTCAAGAAATCTTTTAGTCAGGATTTTCGGTCCGAAAATTGTACGTTACATTGTTCTTCTCTCAGAATAAGCCAATAAACTTGTCGTTACCATCAGTGAAATGTCAATGTGTTTTATTTAAATAGATAACGTAATAAGTCTGACTGTCTAAGATCTCTCAATCTATTTGATCCATAATTAAATTAAAAGATGAATCTCTTGATTTTGGAAACTTTATCTCTAACAAGAAGATAGAATAATAAAAAATAAGCTATTTTATTCAAATTATAAGTGAAGACGACAAGACGCAGCATTCATTAGATATATTTCAATTAGAAATAAACATATATTCCTATTATTTATCATTTTCACAAGAGCTTAATAGTAAGTATTACAATTTCAAATCTCTTATATATTAGTTGTTCCATCGTTATCAAGTTTCGGAAAATTTCTTTGATAAATTAGAATTCAAAGTAGTTCTAATTATTATTTGTCAGCTACTACTATCGACGAACATTAGCAAGAGTTCTCGTATTTTGTCAGCCTAACGTACGCTATAGAAAACAGTCAAATAATGCTTGATAATTGGTTGAATTAATTCTCTATGTTATTGACACCATCGTCAAGCGGCTGCCTGTGTCATTTCGACAGATGAAGAACTTCTAAATAAAATCTTCCTAAATTGGATCCATTAAATATTTATATTTATCCTTCACCGTTTAGTAGATATAAATGAGACCAGTAAATAAAGTATTGATTGCGGTACTATTTATGAATATTACTTTATTCATTTATTTTCTATTAAGATTTTTTATTTCTTTCTGAATTATATGAAAAGAAGCAATTAATCGATGTAAATTATTTCATTTCATAAACTATAACTTGCTCAGTTTGAAAAAGTTCATGTATTATTTTTTCTTCTCAAAGGTTATTTATTAAACTTTTCTCTTAATAATTTAGACATTAATGATATTCCTCGATCAACAAATAATAAATCAACTGAAACTAATTATTAATTTCTCAAACATTCTAAAATATATTAAACAACGCATTAATTAAAATATTCATATTGACATTAAAACACATAAATAATGTTTTTTTTATTCTTTATTCTACAATAAAAGTATACACAAAACAAATAAAAATATTGCGCATATATAGATTAACCAATTACTTTTTTATTCTATGTATATAAAATAATAGATTTTTCAATTGGTTTTCGACATATTGGACATTCTTGTACACGATCACCACAATTTTGACATACACCATGACCACATAAAAAGACCATATTTTTTAATCGATCCATACATATTGGACAATGCACTTGTTCACGAATTTCTTGTAATTGTTGTTGTAAACGAGCAAATGCTACTGCATCGTTTACGTCATTCGATGACGTTGGTGTTGGAGTTGTTGGTGTTTCAGATTTTATTGAAAGATTATCATTATTTCCACAACAAAGTTCATTGAATGATACTGTTGAATCAATCGTAACTCGACAAACAAAACATTTTTCCATTAGACCAACACATTCTATGATTCAGATACGTAAATATATATATATATATATATATTTATAGTAAATATTATTTGATTTACCTTCACAAGAAATTAGATGTCCACATGGTTTATACATAACAGATGCTTTACGTTGAGAACATATTTTACATTGTTCAATCTTTATTATACGAAAAATAAAACAATAGATTTCAAAAAAATAAAATAAAATATTTAATTTTTACTTTAATTCTTGTTTGAATATTTTCTTTACATAATAAACATTTTTTAACTCGACTAGCACATAAATGACATGTAACAATATGTGAACATGGTTGAAATAATGTATCTCGTTCATTGTCAGAACAAACAAGACATTCAGTTAAACTACTATTTTGAGACAATTGTTGATCATTATTATTCTCTCGATTGTATTCTCTTAAAAAAAGAACACACTACATGAATAAATATTTATAAACTTCAATTAATTTCATATACATATTTTTTTGTGTTAATATTCGACATAAATGTGGATCAGGACATAGATCAAACGGTTTTTGATTTTTTTTATTTTTTGCAGATAAATCTGCACCATGTATAACTAAAGTACAAGCAATAGCTACACTTGGACGTTTATCATAACTATTTGTATTTGTAAATATATTCATTAACTAATGAAAAAGAAATCAATATTCATTTATATAATAATAAATTAAATATTTAAATGAATACAAACTCTTCCAGTATCTCCAACATCTTGTAATTGTTTTAATTGTGATAATGTATGATGTCTTAAAGCTTCATGTAGACATGTATCACCATCTTTGTCAGCTAAATTAACATTGGCATTTTTACTACATAACAACTATTAACGAACGAAAAAAACCAAATATTTTTATTTTCAATGAAATTTTTTCCAAGAAATTTTTCTTACATTTACAATTTGTAAATGTTGTCGACCAACGGCTAAATGAAGAGCAGTTTGTAAACTAATATTTTGTGCATTAATAGATGCATTTCCTTTAGTTAAAAGTAATTCAGCAACAAGACAATGATCATTAAGTGCTGCTAAATGTAAAGCTGTAAATCCATCATCTTTTTTCTCATCAACAAGCCATTGACGATTTTGAATTTTAGAAAGAATAAGTTCAACAGCACTGAAAGAAAATCAATCGAATATTTCATTATTTATTTCTATTTGCATCTACTTTCATATACAATCGTTGATTCATATACATATAGCTACAGTTTTTTTTCTTGTTCCTTTCTATACATTCTTGGCACGACCGAATATAACCGTAAGAGGAGATAACAACAATACTATGCCAAAGAAAAAACAAGTCATTTATTAGATAGAAAGAAACATGACTCAGCTGAAGCAGATCTTCTTTGATAGTATTTGAAGAAAAAAAAAAACATTCTACATTATTTGTTACCTTAGAAAATCTTGAATAAAAAAAAATATTTATTATTAATCAATAAAAAATAGAAAAATATTCTTGAAATGACCAACACATGTTTATAAAAAATACTGAAATAATTTGTATGCAAACGTTTGACTACAGAGATCCGACGATGTCGATAGAAGAAAAAAAAAAGATGGAACTAATTTCGTTATAGCCCGGCACGAGGAATCAGAAAAAAGAGAAAAAAACAGACGACCAGGCGTTTTTCGCTCTTCCTCACGCACATACTCGTTCAATCAGCAAAAAAAGGAAGAGACAGAAGAAAAAAAAATTATTGCGGATCTATGTGCGTGCAGACACTCGCGCTCTTCATGTCAGTATATGTTTGAAAACGAACACAAAAAAAAACTAATAGATTATGTTTTCTCATTTTTTTTTTCAATTATATTTATTTATCTTTTTTTTCTTTTATTTTAGAAAATCACCACAGATTAGTCAATATCTTTTAGTTATCGATGAGGATGTTATTAAAAATAAGTTAGTTGTTCTGTATCTATCTATTTATATATATATATATATATGCGAGAAAGGTCGCATGCTGCCAACATTGATGAGGTATGACGATCAGCTTGCACGATGTTAACCAGCTGGCAGAATGTAAGATAAAAAGAAAAATGCAGATGGATGATCTGATTGTTGTCTCTCGCCAAGGGGATTCTTTTTTCCATGTCGACCAAGCTAGCAATGGCATCATACATGTATATTATCAACTGAACAGCAATATTATTCTAGAAACATCTATGCTCGTTTTGGAAACGATATTTATGCATTCATGCTTCTATTCTTGTTCAGTTATCATCGTTTGTTCATCATTTTTGTTTCTCTCTCTCTCTCTCTCTCTCTCTATCTTTCTTTCTCTCTCTTATTTGGTATCTTCTTTTCGTCCTTATCGATCACAGAAAAGGAAAGAAGGCATCATTTTATTGCTGTTGTCTTTTTTTTCTCTCTCAGCCGAAAATACTTCCTGCTGCCATATATATGTATATATCAATCAGGAGAAGTGCGAACGTATGTGTGCCTTTTTCTTCTTCTTGTAGTATTGGCCAAATTTAGCCCCGATATTACTATTATCCTGATTCTTCTATTCGCTACTACATATGCCTACGTACAAGAATAGACTGTGCATATATGTATAATACATGCACAAAAAAGAATCATCAGCGGCATATATATACAAGAGCAATGGATGATTCTATACACAGAATCGTTTTGTATTCATTCTACTTATTCTCGTTTATTAGGTACACATTCCTCTACATGTTCAAAATGGTTTATTAATATGTAAGTAATAATAAAGAAAGATTCCAATTCGTACTTCTAAGACAGACCATATCGAAAAGATATCTTATGGAATGTAATAGAAGTATGCCGAGGGCTTTCTCTATCGTCATTATAAAGAAAAACACAACAACGCAATAAGAATCAACGAATAAATCGATTCTTCATTATTTCTTATATCAAAGAAATAAAACATTCAAACTGATTTTAATGAAGAAAAACAAAACATATGGAAAGACAATCAGTTTCTTTTATAGAATATTCAATCGGTCAATCAACATGTTTATGTGAACTAGAAAAAAAAGAAGACTGTTATCCAGATGTGTGATATCTGTTCTCCTGCTGACTGACCGCTTATTCATTTAACAATGAGAAATGAAAAAGAACAAAGATAAGATCTAATGACTTACGATGAATTGCCACGCAAAGCAGCATGATGAATTGAATTGAAACCATTGTTATTACATGTAGCTACATCAGCATTGTATTCAAGTAAAATAGTAATTAAATCATCACGTCTTTTTGATATAGCATCATGCAATGGTGTATCACCATCGGAATCTTGTATTCCAGGATGAGCACCATTTGATAAAAGAGTTTTACAAACATCAAAATGGCCTTTACAAACACCTGAAAAAAAAACAAAAAAAGAATATAATTTATCAGAGAATTTTCATATTCTACTCATGATTTTATGAATATATTAATTTAGATAGAGAGGAAATGCTTGACTTGCTTCTTTCTAACACTGATATTAAATAGACAACTATGTAGTTGACTAATCACTGATTTTATTCATTTCTTGACACATGGTTGTTTTAGAAGATATCAAGGTCACACAATAGATTAAGATTTATTCATAGTTTTTGTTGTTTATAACTTTTGGAAAAAGTTTTTGTGATAAAAATTTTAAAAAAAATATATTTACCAATATGTAATGCTGTTTGTCGTCGTTTATTTCGAGCATTTAAATCAGCACCTGATTTTGCAAGTAATTCTAATACTTCAGCTTCATCACCAAATGCAGCATGATGTACAGATCGATCACCATCTTTATCCTAGATAAAACATTCAACAAAATAAGGATTTATCTTTTTTTTTTGTTTGATTTGAAAATTTAATTTTACTTCAATTTCTAAATTAACGTCATGTTGAATAAGTAAACGAATAATATCTAAATGTCCATTTTGAGCTGCTGCTTGTAATGGTGTATGTCCAGCAAAAATACCATTTACCTAATCATAATAAATATATTAAAATATAAGAAATATTCTATTGTTTGAAAATGATTACATCAACATCAGATCGTTTTATTAATTCTTCTACTCTTCTTGTATCACCTAGAATTGATAAAATAAGAAAGACGATAATAGAAAAAAATTTTTATATATTTTACCATTGGCTGATGCTTTAACAAGTTCTTCATGAACATCACCAGTGATTTGTGCACTGAATAATTTTTTAAGCATTGCATTAAGTCGATCTGAAAAAACAGAAATTCAATATAAATAATTCATAAAATTATTTCACACATAGAAAGCAAAATAAGAAATATAAATTATTTGACAACCTTTTATGATTACTAAAGTGTTTCTATTAATATATATTTATTAATTATTCTGACTTAGAGCTATATTAAATAATTGAAAGCATTGATGCATCGTGTTGAAAGATGCTTTATTGAACTGAAGATCAACATAGATTCAAAAATGAGTATTCAATATCATTTTGGAAATGTAAGACACGCATTTTTTTTTAATATTAAAGTAACATTAGATGTCCACATTTTTTTTCTCATCTACGCATACGATTATCTCATATTAGAACGATAATCAATTTTTAAATAGTTGGAAAAGGGATACTTAATATATCCTTGAATATAAATTTCTTAATAAGCTATTATATTTACCTTCATGACCATCTTCTATAGCATGTGTTGAATTAACTTTAGTAACAGCGAGTGGATTAAAAATCCAACAACCACCACCAACTTGAACTTTAACATCCCCATCAGCATATAAATGAGCAACTCGACCAATTTTTCCAAGTGCCTAAAATGCATATTGATTAATAATAATAGATACAAATATTATTTCACACTTACGGGTACCATAGCTTCAGCCCATTCACCATGTCCACGTTGAAATATTTTAATTCTTTCTAAGTCACTACATATTTGAACCATATCATTAACTTTCAATGCTTGATTAGGCACTAGAGAAGCTGTTGTTCTTGCTATATTAGCTGCTGTTTGTTGTCGTTGCATAGCTGTTTGTTGTTCGGGTGTTAATTCAACACGTGTTAATAAAGTTGGATTTAAAGTCCATCGATTTCCACTTGGATAAACAACAACAACATCATGATCTTCATCAAGACTTTGTACCACACCAGTTGTACCCAAACATTCAAACATATTATCTGTCCAACCACCATGACCATGTTGAAGTGATTGAACTATTTCAAGTTCTAAATCAATATTAACATAATCACCAACTTGAAATTGTTGACTAATTTCATTTGTTAATCCAGACGATAAATGTTCTCGTGAATAATATGTTTCACCTGACAATAAAACAGTAGAAACTCAAAACTAAGAAAAAAACAAAATCAGTTAAAATTACTTTACCAAGTAATGGAGTATGTTCAGGATAATAATAACCACCTTTTCCGGGTGTTATTGCACGTAAATCAACCTGAAATTTTAAAGAATGTTTTATTTTTTGTTTCAATAAGAAAATTATTCCAAAAAAAAAAAGAATATTCTTACCATGCCATTAAATCCTAGACGATAGAGATTTTCTCGATCATTATCCCAAACTACATAAGCAGCACTACGTGGATGTGTTTTTGACCAATCTTGTATTTCAATGATTTTACCATTTTTTTTCTCTCCCGAATCTTGATCACCATAATTCCAATCTGGACCACGAGAAACTTTTGCACCAGGATAAAGACCACGGATAGGTAATTTTTTTGCTTTTCGTCTTGGATCAATCAAAATTCTAAAATAAAATGAAATAGATAATGTTCAAATAAAAAATAAAATTAAGTTTAAGTCATTGTAAAATTCGAAATTAAAAGATATCAGCGATGAGCAATTTAACTTACCATGCAGAAATCTGTTAAATAAACGACCAAAAAGCAGGAAGTAAGTGAGAAAGGTATAACGAAATTTAACAATTGAATGATACAATATATATACATATATATATTTGACTTACTTTTCACCATGTGGAGTTACAATGCGACAAAATCGATGACGAGTATTATGTCGATCACTATGATAACACATAGAACAAAGATCAACATTTGGACAATCACCACAATGCCAACGAATACCTAAGATAATAAATAATCATAACTATTTATTTATCATCTGTTCACTTACCATATATCGGAGTTTGTCCGCATCCAGAACAGACTGAATTATCATGACAAATACCTATTCAACATCATAAATCGAATTCGGATTCATCTACGTTGAACAAAATCTTACCAGTTGCACTATTATCTAATACTCTTAAATCAAATTGTGTTCGACATCGATAATGTCTTCCGACTTCACCATAATCCCAAATAACAATAACTTCTTGTTGCTCATTATCATTTTCAAATGATTTTACCGTTCCAACATGTCCTTCTCCACCATCTTGTTTTCCATATTTCCAATCAGGACCACGTACAACTCTTGTTCCACATATATATTTATCAATAACATGATTATTTGTTGTTTGATTAATTAATTCAATATTTGATCGACGATTTGTTGTTCCACCAATATCATTATCTACCAAATTATTTTTTTTATTTTCCGTTTGCATTATTTAATAAATTAAGAATAATCTGCAACAATTATGAAGATATATATATTCTTTTTTCCGTTTAAAAAAAAATCACCATTTTAGTGGTACAAAAAAAGAAAATACAAATTTTTACATAAAATATCTTTTAGATCGTCGAAAAAAACAAAAAAGAAACCAGCACCAACATATATATATATCAATTGTTTTTCTTGCCGAATGAGAAAAAACTGTAATTTGTTCTCTAGAAATATTATACAGTTCATAATTTATCAAATGGATAATATATATATATATATATAATAACGTAAAAAAAAAACAAGAACGGAGATGCATAAGTGCTGAATAAATAAATACAAGATAATTTAAATATTATTTTGAATATTTTCATTGTCATCAACAGCGTCATTTGAAGCATTTATTTCTTGTTCAATAAGCGATGTTGGTTTAACTACAGTTTTTTTAGTTGTTGTTTTTCTTATTTGTCGTTTTGAGATCGTTCCAATATGAGCACTCTAAAAAAAAATATGTAGATCATCAATAGATGATTTTTAGTAAAACTGATAACACATTAGAGGCTTAAGAAGAAGAAGATTTCATATCATAGGTCCAGTTAAGACATCATGTGCAAATTTTATTATTATTTTTTTTAATTACCTTTTTTGTCTAATACATAGAAAGCAGTACACAGCAAAATCATTATACAGCATAAATTGAAAAAGAAAAATCAATATTTACCTCATTTGACGAATAAACTGTTGAACTTGTCTTGTTTCCTGTACGTTGTTTTTTATGAATTATATCTTCTGACATTTTAAATTCACCTAATGGATCATCAATTGCATTAGCAGATTTGTCTCGTTGGTCTAAAAAAAAAGGAATTTTATTTAGAACGATAAAATTCAATATAAAACTACTGAATTTTAAAATAACATACATTTTTCCTTTTCTTTGTTTTTGTCCTATTTTCTATTTATTCTTTCGTTTATCATTAAGAAAAATAAAGCGAGCAATCTATATATCTGTCAACACTAAAGAATTTCAAAGTGTCATTAACAATGAAAATAATCATATCAGATATATTATAGTCGATAGAGAAAAAAAAATCTGACAAATTTATCTCATTTCTGTATCTACGTCATCCACTGTTAGTTAATAACATCCGAGTATATACTGAAGATAAATCTTCATTAATTCATAAATATTTTATATTAGAGATAATTAATAGATATCAATGTTAATGAAGTAGAGAAACCCGTGCTTTTAAAGAATAATGTTATAGTTCAGTTTCAACAAAGAAAAAGAAGCGAATTTGAATATTTCAAGAATCACATTAAATAGAGTATATCTGTATATAAATTAGCAAGAGAATTTCTTTTCTTTTTTAATGTCCTTTTTATCGGAATATTTATCATCTAAACATTCTTGATCAATGCATGTGCTGTTAATTATATTGTTTTTGTGATGCGCATGCCACCTGAGGCATATCGACTATTTTTTTGATGCATTCTGTTTGACGTCTTGCATTCACATTAAAGTTTGCACGAAGTCGTATTATTTACTTCTGTTGTATTAAAATAACAAACTCTTAACATGAAGGATAGACATTGTCTAAAGAAAGAACTATTATTTTAATGAAGAATAAATAATTGATTTTAAGATACAAATAAATTTATCAAGTTTGATATATCATGAGTACATTTGTCATTGATCAGTACGTTTCAATTCTCCTTCAAAATATGTTCTTTTTTAATTATTAAAAAAAAAACATCTCATAAACTATATTTTTTTCTATAAACGAAAGAAGTCTCGAAAGATCAAGTACAGTTCATGTTCAAGATAGAATTAACTTAAAATAACTATGAGCATTGTAGTCATGCAATGAGCCTTATTCTCAATCGCTTGCTGGCCTCCAACAAGCAACAAGAAGGGGTCATATGATAACTTGTTTGTTGCTAAAGTCGGTCTCTTTTGTTTCATCTATCTTTTTCTTTTTCAATCGTTTCATTGGAAATTTTCAACGAAACGATTGGAAAAGAAAAAGATAGATGAAAGAAAAGAGACCGACGTTAGCAACAAACAAGTTATCATATGGCCCCTTCTTGTTGCTTGTTGGAGGCTAACAAGTGAATTGGGAATACGGCTCATTTATATCAGACCAAAACAAAAAAGAGAACCTGCTTATACAATTTTACAATTCTTATTAACTTTGTTTATTTAAATGAAAAACTTACGTGAGCGTTGTCGTCGATTAGCATTGTTGTTACCTTTTGATGCATGATTCTGACCTTCCTTCAAACGTTTATTTACTTTTGTATCTACTTCTATTAGAGAAAAATGAAATTATATTTTAAAAGTAAACAATAACAAATAAACCTTCGTCTTCTTCTAATAATGTTTCAGGTGGATTAAAAAAATTGTTTGTTGGACCATTACTAAGATCACTTGTACTTAATGAACGTTTCAAATGTTCACCAAGATATGCTTGGCTCTATTTTGTTTAAAATAAAAAATAAAATAAATTTCTATTAACAAAAAAACGTCTTACTAATATAGCAGTATTTAAAAACATGTTTGATGCATAACGAAAGCTTTTACTAGTTAATTCACGTAATGTTGAATAGCCTTTTTGTTTAGTTTGTTCAAGTAATTGATCAATTTCCTAAATATACTCAAAATAAATTTATCTTTCAATGAATAAAAACAAAACAAGCAAAATATACTTGTTCACGCTCTTTAAGCACAGGTTGAACAAAACGTTTATATAAAAGTGTTGAACCAGCTGGTGAAATCATCCAAAGTACAAGACAAATTTTAAGCCAATAATAAAATGGAAACCTACAAAAATAAATCAACATAAACTAGAATTCTATTCTTTGTTATTTTCTCTATTTCATACCATGATAGAAAAATATCAGTTACTGTTTCACATGCAATAAATATAGAAAATACAATCCAATATCGAAGACAATTAACCTAGAATATTAAATTACGAGTTTTATTTTTTACTTGAATGAAATTTTCATTTGTAATTCATACCACTTCACGTAAATCTGAATTAATAAGTGATTTGTATGATCGATACCCAGGATAAAGTGTACCGATGGTTACACTATAATATCATGCAAAACGAAATGATTATTAATCAAATCTACATAAATATTCTTACATGATACAACGAGCAAGTAGACTTGATACCATTGTAATAATTTGTCGGAATAAGTGAATATGACAATTAAAATGAACAATCACTTATTATGATCTAAAAAAAATAACAAACAATTGTTATGATAGAAACTCAATTAAAATCAAATGTGTTAAAGGTAACCATATATATATTGCTCGAATTTTCTCTCTTCCTTTGTTCCGTTACGCAATCAATCGCGTAACTAATGGCCCTTTCTATCAATAAAATAAGACAAGAAAGAAACAGCGGTATCATCAGACATGTTCACATGTTGTTATAGAACACGAAAAAGAACTATGGGAGAGAAAAGGAGAGTTGATGGTATCTTAATTGTCACACTTTGTCTGTCTGATTTACTCGATATGCTCCATTACAATAATAACATAGAAAAACAATCTCGAGGACGTCTAACAACAATAACAATGTTTCTATCTGAACAACTACTTTTCTTTTTTTTTTTCTTCTTTCTGCATTATAACAACCTACAGTTAGTCAACTGTCTTTTATTACTTCGTTTGTTTCTTTCTATTCTTTTCTTCAGCCTTATTATTATTATCAGGTACAAACAACCAATAGACAAAAAAGGAAATTGTGAACACCGACCGACAGCGACATTATGCTGATTATTGAAGCAAAAAAAATTAAACAGATTTTGCTAGCTCGTGTAATATAATTTGAAAATAGACGACACAAAAACAAGGAAAGGCAACGTAGTTAATTGTATTATGTTTAGATATATTCACACAAATATTCTTATGCAATGTTGAGCCTAGTTGGATTTAGATTTAAATATATGTGATAAATGCATTGAAGAAAGAAGCAAACGACTAGATCTTAAGATAATGTACAATGAAAAACAAAATGAACATACAATTACAGTTTGTACGAAGAAAATATTATGCTCATAATTGATTTTATCGTTAGAAGAAAGAAGTATAGATCTAAAACTAACACAAAACGTATAAGAGCCAGACCAGCAGGCCTTTCCACATACATGCACACAAAAAGACAAGAGCACAAAAAAGAAAAGGAAGAAAACCAAGCTCAAGTATACAAATTGCACAGAACAAAAAAAAAGAAGAAGAACAAATAAAACCGTTTTATATCACTCGGAGATATGATTTCATGATGTTCGTTTGAACACATTTGGAAAGTCTAAAATAAGAATATTTATATAAATAAAATAATTATAAATTGTTTCATTTATTTACTTTTTAAAAATGATGTCTGGAAATAATTTGGAGGTAAATAATGAAATGTTATCCAAACAATGACCAGAATTAACAAAGTCATGGCATGAACACTAAAAGAAAAGAAAAAATAAGAATTATAAATTCGTATTATATATATATATATATGTGTATTTACCGTGATTGAACAATATTTTTTATTGTTGATAAAAGTAGAAGAATAATAGCAAAAACAGTCAATACAATATTGACAAGTTTACTTATAATTCGATGCGTATTTTCTTCTGTTTCAAGTGAATGTGTTTGAGTTTGTTCAACTTTTGCAGTCTAAAGATATATTCAAAAAAAGAAAATATAAAAGATTCTATTAATGTATTTTAATAGGACATATCATTTACTACAGATATCCTATAGAGACTGAAGAGAATATAAAAATGATATAATGTACTTTAATAATACGTTTGATACATCAAATATCATGCTATTTTTAGAAACAAAAACAAATAAATCATTTATGTATGGTAAATAATCAAAAGTAGATATCAAAACAGGGTAGATAAAAACTGTGATATGTACATTTAACGTTTTTGTCTTTGATAAATGTCAGAAAGAATAGAGTTATATTGACACATATTCGTTGTCAAAACAAAAATAGTATGATTGCATTATGTCTCGAACAAAGCCGTCATTTACACATATCTTTGTTGTTGTTTCTAACAATTCTAACTATTTTTCTCCGATATCATTGTATATGAATATTTCTTTCTTTCGTAAAAAAGCAATGAATTTTAGAGATCATTTTAATTTAACAAATATTTTTATTTGACTAAAGTTAAATATTAAAAACTGATTATATAGTTTTAAAATAAAAAGCAAACATTTTTATTTTTTCTTCAATGAATAAAACAAAAGTCAGAGGACCGATACAATGCCGATAGAATTGTAGTGAGAATAAATATTTGGTTTTTCTCTTTTTTGTTAATGTAGCATGAAATATTTAAAGAAAATGTTTAAAAAAATTTAGAGCAAATCTTTTTCTATAAGACAAAACGTCTGTCTTGCTTACATGATTTCTACAATTCCAAGGGCATTGCAGTTTAATACGGAACGATGAGCACGGCAATGATTAGTAAAGAAAAATGAAGCATGCACAAAAAAAGAAGGTAAAGTGTGTGAGTATGGATGGGAATAAAGAAAAGACTAGACATTCATCCGCATGAGTTTTACCTGAATGAAAAGAAAATGTTTTTGTCTATTGAACTACATGGAATAGTATTATTTTTTCGTCGGTGGAAAATTGAAGTAGGGAAAATGATACTATAGAATGTCAAGAGAAGGATATCGGCGACATTGTTAGACTAAGTGCTAGAATCAATCAAAAAACCTAAACTCAATTGGTTTCTTTTTCAATTTCCTTTCAATATCTTATCAAATCAAATGATTCATTGGATGGATCTCCGTTTAGTTGTCAAAGACGAACATTGTTGTATATTTATTGTGCGACAGTCTAATGATAAAGTTCACAATCAATGAGATAAGTTTGAAATATTTAAATTCTGTTATTGAGTATAGATGCATGTCTAGCGGCGACTAACACCCACACCCATCGATATTGATTGATCTTTTAATAGGCGTCATATTTACTTCCATTATTTTTGCGTACTTTACTTTTTGGGATCGGGTCGCATGTTCTCGTGTTGGAGTATCCGTGCTTATCATTCTGATTTCCGTATTTGTGCATACATTTGAAAAATAACAAACGCAAATTTCAGACTTAATCTTAATGAGGACACTACAATTAACAAAATAAAAATGTACCAGGTCCGAGATTATAAAAAATGCAGTTAAATTTTAATTGATTTTTAACGAATTATGATATAAATCACATCAACAAATGACATTTGTCGACTGAATTAATTCTAACACGAGTATTGACGACTTTCTTTTAGATTTAGTGCGAATAAATTCTAAAATAATTTTCTCTACGTCGGAATCAGATCCTAAAAAAATAAAAACCTGAATCTCGCACATCTCTATTCATCAATTGTATATGAATCTATTTGCTAGTTTTCTCTAACATTAACATTTAAGCTTTTAAATAAAAAAAATTGTCTTGAAATTTGAATTCTTTTTTTTTCCTTTTCCATGCATCTCTACTAATACAATCAATCGATCTATTTAACAATGCAAAATTTTATTAAACCATTAAAACAACTAACCCTTGTATCAAGTTTATCTAATTTTTCAAGTAATTCATTCCAATAATCATTAAACTTATATAGAAGTCGATCTTCTAAACTTTTTAAATCTGTTTTAATTGATGACATTTCAATTTGATGTAAATCCATTAAATCCGTTAATTCATTATTTAAACGTTCATTTTGTTCACGTTGAGTATCATTTGATAGTATTAACAAATCAATTTGTTTTTGCATTTCATTTATTTTTATTTCATATCGATCAACAAGTTTTTGCATTGAATCGAGTTTAGTATTTAATTGTTGATATTCAAGTGTTGTTGTCTAATAGAGAATTATTTTATTTAAATCTTTTTTTTTTGTTCTGAGAAAAATAATATTTACTGATGTATTTCGTTTCGATACAGTGCTAGTACATCGATCATCAACTGACTGATCTGATATTCGATCATTAGATTCAACAAGTGAATCATCACTAAAATAATAATAAATACAATGAAGCATTCTTTAATATATTTATTTACGTAAAACGTCGCTTTGTTGATGGCGATTTATCATTATCGTGTATTGTTGATCCATCAGCTAAAATAAAGAAATCTTTAACATAAGAAAAAAAAAAGAAAAAAAAAGACAATTTCTCATTTATAAGCACTGTTTTTTATTTTGAGCATTAAGTCATTAATAATTACTTACAATTACTTGAAGTAACACGAATTTTAGGTAATTGACGGCCTAAGGTGCTAGTTAGATTATTTCAATTTTCTCTTTACATTTCACACTTGTTTAGATATATATATATATATGTCATAGGTCAATCCTGGATTGATCTGAATGTGAGATTAGCCTACGACATATATATATATATATACATACATGTATATAATCCATGCTTACCTGGAATGTTTGAATCGTTTTTTCGACTTGATTTATCACTGTCATAAACGTGTTCATCTAATAATTAGAAAATATTATGATTAATACAAACATAAAGTTGAACTTTTTTGAAAGAATTTATATCAATTGAAAAAAGAAATACATTGTGGGCAATATTAGAATTTGACTAAGGATAAATTCATACAACTACTCGCTTTACTAAAAGTAGAGTGAAATTTTAAAAAATCCGATAGAAAAGTATAATCATACCGGTCATATTGATCAATGGTATAAATATAGATGTATGCGTTACAAAATAGTAAAAAGATTTCTGAATCGGTTACATTTGCGATTGTAAAGGTAACTGCACTACAAAACATTATTTATCTGGAATAAAATGGGAGCTTTTTGTTCGACAAAATTTAAATCAAAACGAGATGATTGGTGGATACATTAAGTTGTTTTGTCTTGTAAATTGTTTAGTGAAATGAAAATATATTGTTTGACAGAACGAAGGAATTATTCTATTCCAATTTTACTTGTATTGATTGTATGAATTAATCTCTAGTCAAAATGTAATTTTGCCTAAGCAATACTGAAATTCCAGTTTTGATTAATGAGCCTCTAGTCAATTTCAGAATTCTAATATAATAAATCTACCAGAGAGAATGAAGTAAACGACTTATTTAGACTTCATGTCATGAATAGAACAAATCTACTGAAATGAATTATATTTAATCCTTTCTTTTTCTCTTTTTAAAAATATAATTAGACCTGAAGGTATAATATGAAAAGATACTCAAATATGTCAAATTAGTGATTAATAATTAATAAAAAACTTGAATAAGAAATATGTCAAGCAATATAATTCTTAATGTTTAGAAAAGGTAGATTTAAAATAAAATTTTTGTTTTTCATCTGCTTGCTTAAAGCAAATATGGCACAATTTTTAACAAAGTATATCATTACATTTTCAAGAAAATAATCTCGATTCGTATATAATAATTATATACGAACTTCTTGTGAACTCAATACATTTTACAATATCTAATGAACTTACAACTTGAATCAATGTAAAATTGAGAATTTCCAATTTCATTTGTTACGGAACTTGAGATAGTTGAATGAGCAGGTTCATGTGTATTACTATATTGACTTTGTGATAATAAATTTTGATTATTATTTATCTGTCCACTTGTGGGTGTGGTTATTATGGTTGACGGTGGTTGTGGTAACGACGGTATCAATGTTGTTGATGAATTTGGATTATGATAATGACTATCCGATTCTGGATAATGGAAAGGTATCGTTTGTTCACTTGTATTTGGTGTTGATACAGTTATTGTTTGATCTGGATTAGTTGTTGAGCGATATTTTAAACTACCACCAGCCACTTTAGCTGCTGTATTCTTTATATTACTAAGTATATCTTTTGATGATGTATAATTATGTGGTATTTCACCGGCATTTATACGTGAAATATCAGTATGATAATTAGCAATTTTTTTTTCTAATTCTTTTTTTGTATCTTGTAATGTTCGTATACGTTTATCAAATGTAGCATTTGTTGTTCGAGAAGTACTTATTTCATTATTTGTATTTGGTATATTTGGTATTGTAGTAACACGAAGAAAATCTGATATTTCTTGTTCAACACTTTGTTGAGCTTTTTGATATAAACGTTGTGCTTTTTCTAATTTCGCTTCAACTTTAGCTAATGCAGCTTGTTTTTTACGTTCAAATGGATCAAGATCAGATGTTGATAAATTTTTTTTACGTGATAATGCTGATGATGAAGAAATATTATGATCACCATCATTACCAGTTGTATTTAACTAGAAAAACAAACAAACAAATAAACAAATCAAGATATTTTAATTACAATAAAAAAAATTGAATTTACACTGTCTGATAGATTTAATGTTTGTTGATCTAATAGATGATGACTATTTATTTTTGATCGACCAGATTGATGACCAGGCAATGAATTTGAATTTCCAGCGCCAGGTGTTGCTACCACTGAACTAGGTTTTGGAGTTGTAGATAATGCAGGACTAGCTAGAGTATTATTTTTATTAATTGATGCTCCTGAATGAAGAAGATCCGAACATGTTGATGGATTACTACCAATTGTATTAGGTTGTGTTTCGGAAATAGGATTTGTCAATTGACGTTGAAGTCGTCTAAATTAAAATCAAAAAAATAAGTAAAAGATTTATTTCATGAGATTCACCTTGTTTTATGTACCTTTTTCGATAAACACACCAAAACACACTCATTCCTTTATTTCAATATATTAAGGCGCTTTTTTTTTTCGTGATTATTATGGTTATTCGTACAGAAAGGTATATTGTTTTTGTTTTATTACTTCCTAACGTTATATTTACAATGATTAGGTCCTCACTTTCATTGATAATAAAGTGTGATAAATAATGCGGAACGGCAATTTTCAGCTGGTTTTGGACATACCTGTACGCTAATGTGCCTGTTGAAGAACGTCTGGAAGACATAGATTTCGTTTCTTTTCTTTTTTGAACTTGTGTTATCAAATTACTGTTTTATATTCTTATAATTATGTATATATTGGATGTGTGATCGTATTTGAATCGAAATGTTTTTTTGCTGTTTTTCTCTTTTTTTTTTCTTGCAGATTGAATGTCCTTCTGTTTTTTTTTTTCTATTCATTTATTTTGGCGGATGCCTTACATCGTACAAAATGAAAAAGAAAACATACAAGTTAACAAGGTGAAAGACAGTCGATGTTGAAAAATCGACATCAATAAAGAGAAGAAAGAAAAGGACAGAGACGTAAATGGGCTTTATCATAAACGACAGAATCGATCGTAATCATCAATAAAAAATAGGTAAAAGCATACTTTTTAAGAACAAATTAGAAAAATTTAAACATGAAATTAACTTCATTACACTTTAGCTAATGTTGAAAACATCTTGAACGTTCTCAATGATTGAAAATATAGAAGTATTAACGGTGACTGACATAATAGATTTCAATGTAATCGGGTTGAACATTAAATGTATGAAGTTTTTTTTCTTATCGAGAGAACAACTATGATTGTTTATTTCATATAATACAACGAACGAAGAAATCAATTGTAGATTTATTTATGATCGAATAAAAAATTGATCTTTTCAATATATTTATGAGTTACGATTTTTACTAATAGAGAAGTATTGAATAAGAATCTAGAGCTTAGATTTTTATTTGTATTTATTTTTTGTTAATTTTTAATGATAAAAATTCTCGTTTAAATTTCTATAGATAAATTTTTATGAAGTCATGATCAGAAAAAAATTTATTCAAATAAATTATATATGTAAGAAGATAAAAACAATCTCAACTTGAGAAAAATTTTAATTCCTTAGCAATAGAATTCCTATTTTTTAGAAGTTTCTTCTATATTTCTAAATCAAACTTGTTAGCATAGTTCCGCCGGACAAAGATTGCATGTTCAAAATCTTATTTCTTTCATCCGGTATAATCAAAAGTTATTTTTAAAATAGAGCTATCCCTTAATTAGAATATCGGAAGCAAATAAAATAATTTTTCTTTCGAAATATTGACAATTGACGAAAATTCTAGATGAACCTTTTTTTGCCTATTTGAATCTCAACTAAAATAAATATATCAATTAATCGTATGAATTTCAAATTATCTTCATAAAAATGTCACCAAAAAAAAAGAATCGATATTCTACAATAAGTTTCCTTTAATCTAATAAATAATCAATACATTACCTTTTTTCTTTAGTGTCATCCTTAGGATTACCAGTACTATGAATTTGTCTAAGTGTATTTTCGATATCATTCATACTTGTTTAACATATATCTGAAAGAAAAAAGCATATATATATATATATAGATGTGTAAGCTGTCGTTTTGTCTACTGTGTTATGTATTAACTTGAAAAAACAGCATGTACTGTTTTTAACTACAATGTTTCAGTATTTGTACGTCAAACAAGATATTAATATGTTCTTGTCAATAATTATGCTAGTGTTGTATCAATAACACTACGTAATAAATATGACATGGTTTGCTAATGAAACATGTTTCTTATATGAAAAAAGGTGCGCATATGACGTGCAATGGAAAATGAATAAATAAAAAGACGAAAAGTGAATATCATAAATATGAGAAAGAAAAAGATTGCAGATAAGAATTGTTTTCTCTTTTTTATTATGTAAAATACTTTAATGCATTCATTAGATGTATATATTCTTCAAATAATCATGACAAGAAAATATGTAGTTACTCCTCTATATATTCAAATCAAAATATGCGCATATCTATATATCTGTTATGTATACAATAAGCTGTGTATAAAAAAAAAATGTATAGATACTGTCATGGACTAGTAATAAAAGCACGAGGCGAGATGAAAGGAAAGAAAGAGGAAAGAGAAAGAGTTTTTTTGTATTATTTTTTTTTGGGCGCATTTTTTTTTTTTTGTTATGATGAATAATGCTTACATATAAATATGCTTTTTCTTTTTGTTTAATCGACATTGATTAATCTAAATAATAAAAGAACATTCCGAAAAACAAAATTCCTTATTTTTCTTATCATTAAAACAAGAGACAGTAATTTTGCGTATTTAATAAAATATTTGTTTAATAATAAATAAGTCTTTCATAAGAGAATGATGATTTTCTACTTCAGTCTTTTCTATCAATAAACTAAAGATCAAAAATAAGAACATGGCAGAATTTGCTCTCTACCATCATTGTTTCATGACATTAAATGATGTTCTGTATTTATAGTATTGATACTACTTAAATAACAAAAGGCATCAGCAGGTTAACGAACTTCTATTCTATTACTTGTATACAGGGATGAAACAGCAGGAGCTAATGTCAATTCTTCACCATTATGCTTTGATGGAGATCTATTACAAATAAAAGAATCTAAAAACGACAGCATTGCCAATGATTAATAGAGTTCATAAAGTTAAAAAATGATAAATGTAATGAATTTCTTAAGAAAATTTATTGTTTTTTTCTTCAATAAAAAGTCAATATTCTCAAATTATTCCATAATAATTTTTTTCTTGATAATGTATCTCATTTAAACGACATATTTAAAAAAAAAACAGAATAATCAAATAAATTCTATTGATCTCGACGTAATGTTTAATTAATTTCATCGTTCATAGATTATCATTATATCTCCCAATCATTATAATCTTAAACAAAATAAATTTTATTATAATTAGAAGATTATTAATCTTTCCAGATTTACTAAATAATCGACTCGATGAAAGATAATACATCATGATCATGTAATTCTAATAGTAAAAACTTTTGTTTTATCAATAAATTGATTTAAATATGATATATTAAAATATATCTGTTTAAAATAATAGATTTTTTTCATACAATAAACCATACCGACAATGAATATACGCATGATTAACACTAAAAACATTCAACGTAATGAGAAAATAAACTCTATAAACACATAATAATTTAAATAAATAAATTCTTAATAATCAACATTCGATTGAATGACGACAAATACTCTTTACAATTGAGAATTTATTTAAATATGTTTGATTTTTTTTCTTCGTTTCGGATAATCGATCAGCAGATGCTAATATAGTTATAAGAAAAAAAATCTAACGTTCTGCGACTTTTTATTGATCTATATTCATGCACTAAAAAACGAGATTTATTTACTGACATCTATTAGAAAATTTTATTATGTAAATGTAACAGTTAATCTTTATAAAACAAATTTCAAAAGTCTTAATCTTAATTAAATAAGTTTTAATTTCATATCATATAAATCTTTATCATAAGATTATAGATCTAAACCCATAGTAATAACATCCTTAATGGCTAATAAATAGTTAAGCGAATAAATTCATTGATATCTTTCCCTAAACTTTGTTTTTATATTAAACATGCTTGTATCTCAACAATCACATCAATGGTCAAATCAATTAGATTCATCGCTTACAAGTAATCGTGATCGTCAACAAAAATCTGATAATCGAACAAATAATTCAGAAGGTATATGAAATAAGTTTTCAAGAAACTTCACACAAATTTTGTCCTTGATTTTTCAGGACGAACACTTTTAACGGGTCCTATTCCAGCAACACCAGACTATGAATATGATAATCGTGCTACCAGGTACGAAAAATTCACTTAAAACTAGAAGATATATGTATCAGAGTTATAATCGGTCGAAAAATATTCTATAAGTATTCTAGTTTTCTTCTACATTGTTTTATTACTTTAATCGAAGTACATTTCATTCTCTAAAAAGGCACAATCGAAACTATGTTACTTTCGCTAAAATAAAATGATATATGTTTTAAATTTGAATCATCATTCAGAGAGAAATGTTCGGTTTGTCTGAAAAACTTCAATGAAAAAATTAAAGGTTTGAACTTCAGCAATCTGTTGATAGAAAAATGACTCTGTTTTTTTCGCGCTATTTATAGAAATATCACATATTCATTTTTGAGAAAATTAACAAATATAAACGGACAATAGCACCGTAAAGATTTGTAAAAACTTGAATTCAACAAATAAAATGAATGTTTTTTGAAGTTATTCCCATTAACTGATTCATAATGATCCAACAAACCAGTCGGACCAAATCAGTTCAAAAATTCTCGATCAAATATAATTTTGATATGCAAATCTATTTCTCTAGTGCACCATGTGGTTCTCGTGGTATTGCTCGAGTTCATGGTTCTGATGCAAAAGCAATTCATGCACGAGCAACAAATGGTACTGGTGTTCCATTTCTATTTGAAGTTCAAGGAACTGGTCTTCTATCAACACAAGGAATGGCAGCAAGTATGAATTTTGATTTTGTTTTTTTTTTTGATGAAAACAAATCTTTTCTTTTTATTTTAAATATAGAACCACCTAAAAATCATTTAAATGAAAATGTCAAACGAATTCGACATGTAATGAGAGAATCCCGACAAAGACAAATAATCAAAGAACAAAATAAACCAATACCTGTTAAAGCCCTTTGGCATTCTAAACATTATGATCATATACCATCGAAAGTTAAACAAAGATTAGAAGAAGTAATATAATAATAATTATTTTCTAACATTGACAATTAACTATAATATTTAAATTTATTTCATTCAATTTTTATTTCGAAATACACTAATTCCTAATATAAAAAATAATAATCGCGTTTTTATCTTGTGATATTAAAAGATTATCTTTAGAAGTATTGATAAAGATTAATGACGTAATTTTTTAATATTTGGTCGAAAAAAATTCATGTGACGAGATTAACACAACATGACTCGAGAACAGATAAAATATTAATCCTGACCTTTGCTTCGTTCGTTAGACGTCAGTTAAATCTTGATTTCATTTACATAAATGCTACGCGTGATCTTTTTAAAATCGTTCCGAATTCATAATTAAACGAATCATACTGTTTTACTTGATGATGATTAAGGGCCCCGCCCCCCTTAGAAAATCCATTTTTTGATAAAGTAATCAAAGTCGAGTTTTTATCATAGAAAGATGCAGCGAAGTTTCCTCTTTCAGAATATATATAAATTTTAAAAAAAGGCCAAATTTTTCCATACTTTCGTAGGAGATTTCCACCTCACTACCCGGTTTTTGGAGAGATTTTTGAATGAAAAAATCCACTTGTAAAACTTCTTTAGCGTTTTTCTCAGAACATAGTTTCTAATCAGGAAAATTGGAATCACTCCTTCATTTCTCGAGCTAGAACTAATTTTTTTTTTTGTTTTAAAGGTCTCAACCGAGAGTAAACTTTTCATCAACCAGTTTTTTTAAATTCGAATCCTGGGCTGAGAAAAGTGGGATTTAC